AGAGCATAGCTCTTACGGTGTGTGCCACTTGGTCTCGGCAGCGCAGCACCCTCACCGCGGTCATAGGACTGGACCTCTCGTTGCCGAGCGTGATCTCGGCCATGCTTGCCACTATAGGTCCTGGAAGGCGGTATCTTCCTTTTGCGAAGAGGTGATGTCGAAAAAGGACGCAGCGGAGCGGGCCCGCGAACAAGACCCTCAGGCAGACCCAATCCGACGCAGACGAATGGGACGAAGGATGCGGGAATACATCCGCAGTCTTCCACCCTGAGTCGGGGCTAGCGGGCGTGGGTAGGGTAACCCGCGCCTGCATTGCACGGCACCGCAGTCTGGGGGGGATTCCTACCATGTGCCTGGGAATCCCCCCGATCGTGAGGTGGCCTGGCTAAAAGCCGGGCCGGCGGCGTGGTTGATTCCCAGTAAGGATCCCATGCCGCCACCTAAGGCAAGCAGAGCACATCCCGGAGTTTTAGTGGGTAGGACCCCCCAATCGGGTGGGCGGGAGGTGGGGGGAGGAGTCTCACATAACCCCATCGCCTACCCAGCGGCGGGGTATGCGTAAGGCATTTCTCCGGGTCAAAAAAAAAAGGTCATAAATTCTGTCACATGTTTAATATAAAATAATCGAAACAAGTTTATTCATCATGTAACCATTTATATACCAAAATGAACTTAACAAAACATAGATTCCTATGACAATAAAGTTTATTCAAAATGACCTCCGTGATTTTGAATACAGGCCTTCAATCTGCGCGGCCAGTCGTCTATCGTAGCACGAACGAGGTCCATGCCAATATCGGCGGCTGCCTTAATTAAGCATGTCGTGAGTGACTCCAAATTGGGATGAGGCTTTGAGCACGCCTTTTCCTCCAAGTGTTGCCATATCTTGTAATCTAACGGACTCAAATCTGGACTGGAGGAGGGCCAGTCTTCGTGCCGGATGAAGTCGATTTCACGCGCCGCCAGCCAGTCTTGTGTGCTCTTCGCTCTATGAACTAGCGCCGAATCTTGTTGGAATACTCAGTGCCTGTTATTGAGCATGGTATGAGAAACAGGTTCCACAAGGTTCGTCAGGACTGTATTTTGATACACAACTGCATTCGTTTTTACACATAAGAAACTCCGAACCATACCATGAGCGAGGATGGAAAATGACCTCGTTGGACACGCGGAATACGGTTGCTCGCTTCTTCACTACTGTGTGCGTACACCTTATTATTTTGTTTGTTGTAGCTTTCTTCTACGGTAAGAATTTTTTCATCAGAAAAAAGAATTTCCCGGTATTTTTTTCCGCGTACCGCTTCAACAAAGCGCGGCATCTCTTCAGTCTTAGGTCCATTAGACGAGCATTCAAACGATGTCCTGTTTTTCTTCGATATGCCCGAAGCCCTAAGTCTTCATTTAACTTCTCTCTCTTCTTTTCACCGTGGTTCTGCTTAACCCCATCTGAAGGGCCAACAGTTTCTACTTACGTTTGGGATTTCTTTGAATTAGCGCCTTTACAGCTTTTATCACTGCTGGAGTCCTAACAGACCGAGGGCGACCACTTCTTGACCTGTCATCTACACTAGTCTTCATTGTATCGTTTGATGGTACGATAAACGAATCTTTTGGTTATATTCAAAATTTTTCAGTATGTCAAAAATTTGAATTGGCGCGTAACCGCAACGATGCAACGCAATAACTGCAACACGGACTTCTTTATGCGTCCACTCCATATTTAAAAATGAGTAAAATTCTAAAAAGTATACATTTTTATTTTCATGAACAATTCGAAATTGGAATTCAATAAACTTTTTTGTGGCCAGCATTCTACGAGAAAAGTTTTTACTGTGTGACAATACTTATGACCTGACTGTGTATATGTATACCTCGTTTAGACTATGCCCATGCCGCTGCCCCTCGTGTTGCCGGCAATAATTCCCTAAATATTGCTGCGGCATGATTGAGAGAAGTATGTGTTTATATACTGGACTACCTCTCACTTCGCTTCAGAGTTTCGGCAATGGCAGACGTCAAAGTAATAACAGCGGCCGCGCTGTGCCTTTTTGCAATCCATAGTCGAAATTTAAATAATTAATAATTTTAACATAAATAATTTATAATAAAATAAATTAATAATTTTTAATTCCCCGTCTTTCTCCACCAAGCGCGTTGCGCGAACTAATAGTGCAGTCATTGAAGCATTATTGGTCCGAATTTTTTTACTGTGAACCGAATTGCATACAATTTTGGAATTAGGTTCATCTTACCCTTAACTTCAAAAGTGAAAATGATTTGAACTCCGCAACCACCCTGGGAGTGGTTGCCACCCCTTCTCGGTGGTGAATTTTTTTTTCAAAATAACCTCGGATATCGATAGAAAGCCTAATTTTAAGCAAAAATCATCTATAAAGTTTTTCCAAAACTTCAATACTTTTTAAGATATTGTCAATTGAAAATTCGAAAGTTTTTCCCGTTTTTCATCGGTTTTTTGCAAATATCTCCAAAAATTTAAGTTTTATCGAAAATTTTATAAAGAACAAAATTGTAGCAGGTAAAACAATGAACAATTTGGTTTTTTATAAAGTATTCTAAATGCAATATTAAGCTAGATATTAAAGATCAAAGCCGTTTTTTATTTTGTCTGAAATTTAATCGATGTGGTCAATGCCACCTAGCGGCGAGCAGATGCATGTTATGCATTCTAATACAAAAGGGTTTTGTAGTGCTTGAAATAAGCTTTAAAATGAGCACTATTAAGTCTTTTGCACGTAAAATAAGCCCTTTAACCCTTCACCGTTTTAGAAAAAGGTTTTTTAATATATATTGGAATGAAGGGTGTTGTAGCTCTCTTAATTACCTTTACAATGGTTTTACATAAATTGTGATAGCATGAAAATTGAAGGAGTTATGGTCCAAAAACTTATCATATTTTTTTCTACTTAGTAACTGAAAATTTCAGAGTGTGAATATTTGGAGCAATGTGAAAGTACGCAGTATAATAGAGACCCACAACTATTGTAATGTGTATATATATACATAATATGACTCGTATATTTTGGAAATGTAGGCATGAATACATACCAACGTTCTTATATGTGTATATAACACATTTCATCATTTCATCATCATCATCATTCATCCAACGGATTGGGGGTGGGTCATGAATGACGGTTTATTAAATCCACTTAAGTCTGTAGATCCACCCGCACCACAAGAACTGCAACTGCAAAAAAGGATGTGGAGCGTCTTGCGGATGCAGAAAAGTTGGTCTGTTTTGTAATAGTACCTGTGGAACGTGCAATGGAGATGACTGCCAAAATAGCCCTCCAATTCAGCCAGAAGATGTTGAATGTGACAGCGACTCCGACATTGAGTCATGAATAATAATATTATATTTTAATAATAATAGTACAATTTTATATAATTAGTAAATATTTTATTCAATAAATAGCAATTTTTTACTCTAAATTAAATTATTTTTAAATGTGTCATATATATATATGGGTTGAAAATGATTTTAATATGAGGTAATTATGTTAGAAAATACTTTACAATTTCATCACTTACTATTAGACATGTTTTCTAGCGATAAAATGGCTCTATGTCAATTTTTCCATTAAGGGGTTGTTTACACCCCTTAAAAATAATAGGCGGAGTACAGATCATTTTCACTTTTGAAGTTAAGGGTAAGATGAGCCTAATTCCAAAATTTCATGCAAATCGGTTCACAGTAAAAAAATTCGGAGGTAAGGCCGTATTTTTCGCTTCAATGACTGCACTATAAGCGACGCACAGAGTGTGAACACGCATTGCCACTCGCCCTGCCGGTCCTTTGACTTCCGCACAAAAAACCGCTCTTTTGGGGAGCGCCGGGCAGCGCGAGGGGCAATGGCAGTGGCATGACGAGTATCGTGTTTACATACTCGTCATGCCCACTTCCCTCCTTACTCGTGCTGCATGTAAACGGGGTATTACAGCTATGAAATAATCAAAAATATCAGAAGAAGAATCAGTTAGCAGCTAGTCTACACGCATTCTAGTCGCACGCACACAAACAGCTGCACCGCTCTGTGCCGGTCGGAGTGGGGGGTGTTAGGTTTATTTTCGTTACGGAATTTTTAGATTCGGGCGCCGAGCTCAAAGACCGCGATAAAAGCTATGCAATAGCTTAAAAATTTGCCACAACTTTAGTCTCAACTTTTTTCTATTCGCTCAACCTTTTTCGAGATAGAGGGCGGAGAACACCCAGCGTTCAGGCATACATACTGTAATACAAGGTCAACCATGAATCTCGGTGAATAATAACTTATATACAGTTCTGGTGCACGAAGACATTACTCGAATTCGGGCATCCAAAGCAATAATTACATTGTTTTCGGGTACTGGAACATGGGCAAACAACCCTGCACACGCGAAACGAAACGAATACGGGCGTAATCGACTGCGTTCATTTACACCTATTCGTTTGTCCGAATTCCAAAGGCACTCGTATTCGGGCTAACGAACAAGTGCAATTGCGCCATAAGTCTGTTTTTGCCTTTAGTGTGGTTCATTTGGGAAGCGCATCCTCTTTTCTAATAGCCAATTGCATACCCGACGGGATACATAATGTTTATATAAGTACCTACCACCTACTCTTTACATTATGGTTGCAATAAAAATATTTGAGTTTTCGTTTGAGTTTAGCCCGCCTGATGGTAAGCGGCCAACATAGCCCATACAGGTCTGCGATCCAAAAAGAAACACTTGCACCGTTGCCTACCCTGGCCCATCCCCTACCCCGTGCAGCCTTTAAAGAAGAGGAAGACAGTCCGCTAATTGCTTAGGTTATGTATGGAAACCCTTTGACTCTTTCTACAAATCTAATGTATTCTTGACTGAACGCAGACTGAAGACGGGCACTCTTTGGTTGATTGGAGTCTGAGAGGTCAAATAGAATCTTTAAAACTTTATTCTAAGCTTTAAAATGTAATTTTAATTTAGTCAGTAATTTTGTTTATTTGCTTTAATTACAGATTTGTAAGGCAGAATGGATCAAGCCAATTATCCACGCCGTGCCAGAGGTAGGTAGTGTGACAACGTTCCCGAGTGACAACGTCAAACGACAATCATAGAACTTAAGCGCGTATTCCACCTGGCTACATTCAGACGTCCTAGATAGGATCCTAAAGTGAAAGCTAATTAGAAGCTTCTGATTACACTTGACTAATTTAGTTACTGATTTAGTCAGTTGCAAGCGCGTGGCGAATTCAGTCAGACTTTTTCGGTAATGGCTCTAGTCCTGTCAAAGCAACAAAAAATCGGTCTTTACGTATGCCTGGCCGTTGGCTCAATAAAAATAAAATAAAGTAAAAATCGAAAAACATGGATGAAAGAATATTAATATTTTTAATGTTATTTTTATGGTTTTTGTTCCAAAGATACGGCATATGTTTATACAATTCGATTATGTTACTCATAACTTCTTTTGCTTTTACCGCCGACATCGCACACTTGCGTAATTCGTAATCGTGGACAAAATAACGCCCTCGTGTATTGACGGTGCGATCAAAGCATCTAAACCCTATCATACGTTCCTAAATCGGTTTCTAATTAGGATACTAAAATGATTTAGTCATTTAGAAGCCACACTTCTTCCGATTTAGGATGCTAATTAGGATCCTAACTTCCTAAATGCTATTTCACTTGACTGAATTAGTTACTGAATGATTTAGAACATCTGAATTTAGTCAGGTGGAATACGCACTTAACACCTCCTCTGAATGTTAAATTTCAATTGATTGCAAACAATTTAAATTGTATTGTTTTAAACTTTCATGGTCACTAACATTATAGTAATATAAGTTATTTACGGGATTGTTACCATGTATCTTGTTTTTAGCGAGTTTCTTTCGGCACTGTTGCAAGCGCCATGATCACGGAGTAACTGTAGTAATAGGCTAGTTGACCCTTTTTGGAAAAAGTTCTAATAAATACCACGAAAAATAAAGTAATTATCAATATTGTATTGTACGAGAATATAAAACACATCCTTGAAGACTCCAGGAAAGTTGTGGATTAAAGTGCCGAAAGAATAAAGTAATTATCAATATTGTATTGTACGAGAATATAAAACACATCCTTGAAGACTCCAGGAAAGTTGTGGATTAAAGTGCCGAAAGAAATTAACCTACGCAACTTTATTACACTTATTCATATGTTGTATCAGTTTTATGTTTATTACTACATTGTAATACTAAATGCACTGTACTTACATAGATGCCTTGTCGTTTCTCTGCTCCGCAGAGCAGAAATCGGGGTTTAGTGCAAAAAATTCACCAACCATCAATGCGTCAATTCTTGGCAGATTTGTGCTTTCTGCTTTCACAAAGCCGACATCCATAATTATTTTTGTCAAAAAAAACAGTAAACTTAAACTTTTCTAAAGTTAAAAGTGTTTTAAGATAAATTTAGTCAGACGAAAGAATCCACCCACAGTAACACGCGAATGACATTTAGTTGTTTACTACAAGAGATGTCACAATCATGGCGGAAGTGTCGAACAGCGTTTTTAGTGTTTAAAAAATATAGACTAAAAAAATATTTTTGAAAATTAAATTTCTACGGCAATATTCTGCTTTTATGAAGTAAAATCGATATATTTAGGTTCCTTAGATCAAATACTTTAAGATATAAACATTTATTTAATACAATTCGACATGAGTAAACTAGCCTATTGCGGGTAGCCTGTTATTTGCAGACATATCGGTCTACCCTCCGACAAAGTCTTTTATTGCGTTCGATACCCGTACCACTGTTCACTCTCACTATTCACTCGAAACTGTTCTCGACATACAATAATTACAGTATCGGATCGCGACACGACACTTTTTTAATTATTTCCGGTTTTACACATATGAACCACAGGATTCCAGACACTCGACAATTTAAATCCGTCCTCACGATTGAAATTTTTATGTTTTGTTATTTCAATCGCTTCCCTGACCAATCTTGGTATGTAGTGGCGTTCTGTCGAGATAATCTGTGGGTTATGAAACTCAATCCAGTGGTTAGGACCAGAATCAATCAAATGTTCCTCGATGGCTGATTTCTGTGTATCGTTGTTCTTGATTGCTTTTATGTGTTCCCTCAATCGGCATGATACTGTTCGCTTTGTTTGGCCAATGTGCAAACTGCCACAGCTGCAATCGATCTTATAGACACCAGGTTTCTCCAAGGGGAAGTCATCTTTAGGAGACCGTAGGTATTGTGAAACCTTTCGCACAGTGTTTAGTGAGTACTTATTCAGTATGTTTGAGATCTTGTCAGTCACTCCTTTGACGTATGGCAAATAAACAGGTTGTCTGTCTACTCTATGTCTCTGGTGTCTTAGTTTGTGTCTAGATGGAAAATGTCCCTGGTATCCATTACTCTGTAAGACTCGTCGCTCCAACTCTTCCTGAAGATGTTCCTCATCACACAGGTCATATGCGCGGTTCGTCAGTGACAGTCACTACAGAGTTAAGATGTTTAGGGTGGTGATGCGAGGAGGCGTTGGGATAGCGGTCAGTGTGTGTAGGTTTTCGGTAAATGGAATGACCAAGCGAACCGTCATTCCTCACCCGAATCTACACATTCAGAAAGGCCAGACTTCTGTCTTCTTCCATCTCAAAGGTAAAGTTGATTTTAGAATGGATACCATTTAAATTTGCCAAGTGAGACTCGACATCATGTTTGTTACCTCTTAATATACAGAATACGCCATCGACATACCTCTTCCATAGTTTTATTTCTATGGGTGCGGTGATAAAGGCTTTTTTTTCAAAATGCTCCATCCATATATTGGCAATCACTGGAGCCACGGGACTGCTCATTGCGACCCCATCTATTTGGAGGTAAGTAGTACTGACCCTGATATATGAAGGAATTCGTCGATAAACAATGATGCAACAGCTTGGCATATTCCTTCGGGATGTCATTTTCTTGCAACTTCACCTTCACCACTTCCAGACAATCCAACTCAGGTACATTTGTTTACAGCGTTTCCACGTCAAAACTGTCCATCAACTGATTTTCATCTACCTTGTTTTGGTGCAAGATTTCTATGAAATAGCGGGAATCCTTCAAAAACGACGACGTTCGTTCCACTATCGGCTTACTACTAACTATACTTTTGCCACGTGCTTGGCCAGTTAATATGTAGGTGAGTCTATCTGACTCACGATCGGACGTAGGGGCACATTTGGCTTATGGATTTTCGGCAGATTACTCCGTGATCATGGCCCTTGCAACAGTGCCGAAATATCAGAAACTCGCTAAAAACATGGTAACCATCCCGTAAATAACTTATATGACTATAATTTAAAATTGCTAATAATATTACTATTGAGGAGGCTATGTTTTAAGTATGTACCTACATGCTTAAAAACAAAGCCTCTTCATAAAATACCAATACTTACTTTGTGGCACGTCATCTGTCTCATCACAGATTTTTTTTATTATTTTTTTTTTTATGTGGGAAACACAATATTTTATTACATTAAGATAAATTAAATATAGATTAACATACATCAACAATGTTTCCACTAACAATTAGTACAGTTAAGAGCAGCTGTGTATTTAATAAAAAATCATATAAAGTTAAATTAAATACGATATTAATTTAATTGAAATAAAAACAAAACAACAGGTGAACTAGGTACCAAGCTACAAGTACGGTAGCACTGCAGCATGCTTCAATAAAGGCGGAAACATATTAACGTGTCGTGATGCACCAGAAGCACATTGGTTTCATACTTTTGCGCGACGACTGCTTATATTTATTTATTTATTTTTAAACTTTATTGACTAGAACAGTGGTTCTCAAACTTTTTAAATGACGGAACCCTTTTGGGAAGCAAAATACTTGATGGAACCCTACAATAAAACAATTATTTTTATAAGTGTATTCTATATTAATCAGCATAATAAAAGTACAATGTATCCGTTACTAATTATTATTTACTTCACCACTTGGTAAGGACAATAATAGAAAACATTAAAAAAGAAAAAATCTAACTAGTGGGAGGTATGAAACTGTTTTTTATTTTTCATCAATTGCTTGATATCAGGTTTGATGGAAGAAAGTTGGAGTCTCATATCAGCTTCGGCGTCCAGTCTATTGCGATATTTTGTTTTCGTGGCTGCGTAGGTAGAGAATCCTGTTTCGCACAAATATGTAGTTGGGAACGGGAGAAGAATATCCAGAGCCATTTGGCCAAGCATTGCATATTCATCTTGGATTCTGCACCAAAAATCATTAAGAGGCGTCGTTTTGAACAATGACTCCATACTTGTGTCTGATGACATTTCTAAAAGAGATTCATATATCTCATTTGACATGTTTTCAGGCTTTTCCAAGTTGGGTAAAAAAGGATTATGAATCCAGGAGTTCACTTTAATTTTTGTATTGTGTTCTTCGGGAAAATACTTTTCAAAAGATGCGCGCATCGAACTGAGATATTGGACCAATTCTTCAAACACATTATCTTCAAACATTTCTGAGTCGTTTTCGCTAACAAACTCAGTGAGTAACGTAAAACTTTCTATTTCTTTCTTACCAATGCAAATGATCCAAAAATCTAATTTTCTTTTAAAAGTAGTTATTTTATTATAGGCCTGAAACACTGTTGTCTGTTTACCTTGCAATGATAAATTTAATTCGTTAAGTTTTTGAAAGATATCCGCCATAAAAGACAATCGGAACAACCAAGTTTTATCATACAAACGGTCCTTCAAATTAAAAGAAGTATCTGCTGAAAGAAACATTTGTAACTCGGCTCTAAGTTCAAATAGCCTTGTTAAAGTTTTTCCCCGAGACAGCCATCGCACTTCTGTATGGAGCAGCAGTGTTTTATGTTTGCTGCCATAATCTTCACACAATAATGAGAACAATCGGGATTGTAGTGGTCGTGATTTGATAAAATTAATTATTTTTACCGCTTCATCCATAACTAATTTTAGATTAGACGGCATTTGCTTCATCGCAAGTGCTTGTCTATGCAGAATACAATGACTGGAACTACAATTAGGCGCTTTATTTTTC